CGCGGCTCCAGCCGCCCGCCGGCAGCGGCCACCCGCACCGAGCGCGCCCGGCCGCGGAGCTGCGCGGGGCGGGCGCCGGCAAGGAAGCGCGGAAAGTTGGGCGTTAGCGCGGGTCGGCGGCGGACCCGCCTCGGTCGTGCCCAGGTGGCTGCCTCGCCTTGCTTCGGCCTTGGGGTGGACAGCCTCGGTGGAGGGGACACGGAGACCCGAGCCCTGCTCGCCATGGTGCTCGGCGAGTGCTGCGCGGGCTGCTCCCGCCTCCCGCAGCTGCAGTGGGAGGCGAGGGGCGAGGATCCCGTCCCGGAGGGAGCCCGGCGGCTGTGCCCAGTGAGAGGCAGCGGGGGAACGGCAGAAAAACTCCCTCCTGCAGGAGGGTCCCACCAGATGGCCTCACTTCTGAGGGCCCCTCTGAAACCACGGACCTGGAGCCCCAAGCTGCTGATTGCTGGAGCTAAAAAGCGTGGTGCTTGTGCGGAGCTGGACTCTTCGCCAGCCCAGTGAGTGGACAGCTAGAGCAGAAAGTAACACTGCACCTTACACAAACAGCAGCCGTGCTGCTAACTCGTTTTTGAGGAAACCGAGGCTCATACCAAGAGGAGCTGCATGGGACAGAACGCAGGTAGTAGCACTCCAGAATGCGTGTAGTGTTGGAAAGGCTATGGCAGCATCTCAGGAATGGGCAGAGGTCCCAGGCTGTCCCCTCGCTCCAAAGGCATTGCAACCTTCCATGAATCAAAGGAGTCACCTGGGCCAGTCTCCCCTTTCCCCACGCAACCGTGTGCCTTTCAGAGTCAAAGCTTGGCTCCCAATCTAAAAATATCCTCTCATCTTGACTTTTCTTCCCATTGCTGTTTCAAAGCAAATTAAGACACACCAACTTTATGTTAAAACAGAGACTGTATTCAGATCCTTTGTATTAAATAGCATCTGTGTTTGCATTCTGTTTTAATACAAAATGCTTTGGATTGCAGCTAATACCAGGAGATATGAAACTGGTTAGTCCCCACATGTTGCACATAAAAAGAATTCATAATGAGCATCTGTGGGATGTGGAATGGATCCCATGAGTTAGCTGAAGACCTCATAACGTAAGAGCTGAGAAGCCTAAGTGAATTATGACTCTCTTTCCTCGCAAGTAGGATTAATTTTCTATCCCACTTATATTCATTATCTATCCTGTTTATACTATAGGGACATCAATTGTTTGAGTGTTAAATATGAAGACTTTACAGAAACGTGTAGGTTAGATAGCTTGCAGAGAAGAGGGGGGTTGTTATTGCTAGGAAAACTGTTATTCAAACTCCATGTTTAAAGACCAGTATTAGATAAAGCTGCTCACTTTTTTTAAAGGACTGCAAATTCTGTGCCTTTCTCCTGCAACATATTTAAAATGTAAGGTTTACAAAGTACTCTCCATCTGCCTGTGGCCCTCCCAGTGATGTCAATAGGAATTTTGCATGCAGATGAAGGCCCCTATATGGCCTTTAGAGAGCAGGTCAATAAATGGCTGGAGGAATAATTAAAGACTTCTGAGCTGCTCCTTTCCTTTTTCTTACATTATAGTACAAGACTGGCATGAATATAGGCTGGGCTACCACTCTAATTGGCTATGGAATAACACTGAAAGGAATTTAAATGTGGGCAGTAGCCATTTTCCAAATGATCACTCCATTACAGTAGTTTTGTCTGTCAATGTATGGCCAGGCAGTAGAGTGGATGTAATCATGTCGAAGTGCCCATCCATTGATTGTCACTCTTTGCTCTACATTGGCAACTCTAAGCAGATTTTCACATTTCAAAGAGGCAGCCAGGATGGAGAGCCTGCCTTTAGCCAAACTTGCTTCAGCTTAGTCTTGAAAGTCACTGCTTTTCATCCATGTAGGCAGAGCCAGGATCTCTCGATATTTAATAAGATCTTTTATGAGTATTGATTAATATCTTAAGTGTTAATATAACTAAAAGTTCAGTCTTGATAACTTTGCTTGTGCAAGTAGACCCACTAAGTCACTGGAAGTACTGACAAATAGTTTTGTATGTTAGAAGACAAGCAGGATTCAAAGGTAGGTTTGTGAATGTCTAGAATACAGAAGCATTTTCTTTGCCGTAGGTCTTAAAAGATGCCAAATAAAAACCATTATCTCATATTTGAAGAAAACTCCATTTTGATTGTTTGTATCTTTTCTTCCCCCCGAATTAATGACAATGGTAAAATCCAGTAGGAATTTCTGAGACTTTATACACCGATGAAAATATCCATCATCAAGCTTATACTCTGTGCCATATTAAATAGTGTGGACCCAATTTGCCACGTATTTCACCAGTGCTACAACATACCATGATGGATTTAACTTAATTTGCTGCAGCATGGTAACATAAATGAGATGAGAATAAACCCCAATATTTTTAATTTACTTTATTTCTCATTTTGGTCAAATTATTGACAGCTTCTGGTGTCCAAGTGACATAGTTTTTGTTTCAATACCATGTACTATTGCAAGATATGCTGCAAGTTGCTTTAGTATTGATTAAGCAAAGAAATATTTTAACAGAGTACTGCTGTTTCTGTGTGCAGTAGACCTTCCTGTCAGGCAAAAACATAGCAAAAATAAAAATTAAAACCACGTGACAATATGTAATACAATAACATTTAATATTTATGCTTTTCATATACCTCTCTATCACAATTATATATTATATCTTTATTCGCATTGTCGGTATACTACTGTTCCTTTCACAGGTGAAAAAATATCTCTTCTCTGGAAATTCATTTCCATTTACTTAAAGTTAAATGGTTTGACTTTGAATTTTCATTATCTCCTGTTCGAAGGAGCCTGTGACAGGTATGAGAGAGAATGCTACAAAGCTTCATTGTATCATCTAATTTTTGCTTCACTTTAGTCAGATATCATTTAGGTAGAGAGTAAAATAGTATACATAGAACAGGATAAGATAGAACAAAACAGAACAGAAATAAAATGAAAATAGGATATATAATGAATTACAGTAGAAAAATGCCTTTATCTTGAAGTGATTTTTTTTTTAGTTATACTGATTCCTCACTAGTGAGAAAATTGAACTAATTTTATATAAAAGGAATATGTCATAACAGGATATGGCATTTATCTTCCTGAGATAGGGGTGACCTCATCATTCACAAGTGGTGTAGCTATGAATGAGTAATCAGCCTCCCCACCCATTAAGTGTAGATAAAGTCCACATCTTCTGTCTAAGTATTAAATATTCGATTTATTATTTTACAACTCACCATCTCTACAAGTGTTCACTGACTGAGGCTTCGGTTGCTGCTGCCAGTATGTATTGTCAGTGGGAAGCAGAAGAAGCTCCTCAAAAGGTGCCCTGTATAATAGAGAATGAAAGATGAGAAGGAAAATGAAAATAACAGATGAGAAGAAAACAAGAGAAAATGGACCCGCAGGAAAAAAAAAATTGGGCAGAACAGGGATAAGAAAATTCTTTAACTGACCTATACTTTTGTTGTCTGTAAGATTCCAAGAGCTTTATAACATACAAGCAGTGAAAATATTTTTCATATTAATACCTCACATACATCAGCTATCTCCTATCTCAAGTTATATTGCTCAAGTTATTCCCAGAAGAATTTATATATGTATAATGTGAGAGAAATATATAGTTAGGAAAAAATTTCTTTTTACTATTTATCAGCGGGGCACATTAGGGAAGAGCCACAGTTAAAAAAATACAGTTTATTTCTAGAACTATATAAGATAACATAATTTTCTCTTTCAAATGATGTCACGTGCTGCATTTTGTTTTCATTCCTTTGTAAAAGCAACGAGTGCAGTTTAAAGAAAATATTCCAAATTTAATTTTAAATCCAAAAGAACTGTCTGTTCATCTGTTTTGAAGAAAAAGCTCTAAATAGAACGTGAAGTCAGGAAAAGGACCATTACAACTTAAATAAGAGTACTCAAATATTTTCCATCTTCACCATTCCTTGACATGTACTCATGGTTGGAAGAATGGATAAGGGAAATGTCTTTTCTGAAAGGTTTTGCTAGGACTGAAGGGCAAGCTTAAGGCAGCACTCTCCCCCCCGCCCCGTATTAAAAAAAAAAAATATATATATATATATAAAAAAGGCAGGCAGAGAGTAAGACAGAAGAAAAGTGCCTGGGGAACATAGCATCACTATCGAAATCATAAAAGATGTATAAGGACATCCGTGGAAGAAGTAGAAAAACTATTAGCAGGATGCCCTCCAGGGCTATCCCGATGGCGCAGCGATTAGTGCCCTGCGCTGCCGGCGGGCGAGGGCTCAGGCTGATCCGAGCATCCCATTCATTGCTGCTGGCAGCTGAGAGCGGTGGAGAAAGGCTGATACATTGCTCACACGCCCAAAAGTGTGTACCCAGGCTGTGCCTGGACGCTGAAGCTGCCTCAGGAAGGAGTATCATGTCTTCCCAATCATCAGGTTTATTTATTTTACTCTCTGCGGAAAGCAGAGGAGCACCTCTGGCCCACCATGTAATGACAAAGGACAGGTCACCTTCCAAAGCTGGAGCATCAGTGTGAAAGTCAATTTCTTGTGTGTTGCTCTGGCCCTAAATTTTAGTGAGCGAGTCATCCCTCAGCACCAGAGGTTTTCTGCAGTGTTGATCACCCACAAATTTTATAGCATCTCGAGCAGTTTGAGAGGTAGCCAGCCCATTTTTTCAGACTGTACCTGCTTCTGCAGATCTGTGATGTTCCTCCAGGCAATTTTAGCACCTATGTTTTAATTTTCCATCTCTTCAAGATCAGTCTTATGCCTCCGAAGTAAACTACTACATCACCAACATCAAATTAGGACTATGGAGACCACAACTAAATTTTACTGCTTTCACCTCCTCAAAAACCCCATTCATGCCATACAGCCTGATAAGAAGCCTTATTGGAAAAAGTGGAAAAACAAATGAAGTAGGTGTTTTTTATCTCCAGGGCTTCTGAGAAATGCCATCATATTATCCTGTGTTCTCACCACATTGAGATTTTTGGTCATGTTCATCCATAAGTTCAGTGAAACTTTTAAAAAACACAGGCCTAGTCAACACACTTTTTTATCTATGTGTTTACACTTATTTGTAGCCTCTGTCAGCGCTCCTAAACAAAATAATTTGCAGAAGCACCTATTAGTGTGGCCTGGAAAATCAGGATCAAAAGACAGCTCAAGGTTTTTGACTGCACTTAGAGGAGGATTCTTACTCCTTCCCTTACTAAGTGGCCAGTCTCTTCTTATTCAGAAGGAATGGAAACCAAACCTGCTCTTTCTCCTAATTATTTTCTGATTAACAAATCCAAGTTAATGATACATACAGCAAAAAAAGCACTGAGCTTTCACTCAGAGTTGTTTCAGACAAGCCTAGTACAGTCCAATGCAGCCTTTCATCTTTGGTGGCAGCTCTTAGTGCTCTGCTGAGTCATGCAGCAATGAACATTGAACAAAAATAGTCCCATGCCCGTGTCTTATCTCCTACTGTCCAAATTGTATCCAGTGCAGTTCAAAGCTGTGCTAGGTCCTCAAAGACATGCTTCCCCATAGCTGGTGTGGTGGGGCTTTGTCTGTTTTATTAGAGCATTATTTTTCCACTCATTGAAGGCAGTGCATTGTGGTGCTGTGTAGCACTCCCAGGTGGGCAGCCACGTACATCCTTGGCTAACAGCCTCTGAAACTTCAAGCATACATAAGAATCAGAAATAGATACTTTGATCTTAGCGTTTTTTTCCAAAAATAATTCAAACTTATAAGGATGTATATATGTATCAAGAACTTGAATGCAGACTAGCCTGTTTGAAAATGCGTCTTTGTGCAGGCATAGGAATCTCTAACAGAATCCCATTCTTATTTATAACTATTTATTATTCTGCAGTTTCAGTTCACCCCATGAAGACGATGGTCCAAATTTTTCGTTCCTTTTTACCTTAATTCAAGCATACTCAGAGGTGGTCTTCAAAATTTAAGCACATATCTGACCTTACTCTTTAAATTTCTCTTGGGTAAAAACCAACAAAACCTTCCTAGTATTGTTATATGGTCTATCAGAAACCTTAAAAAGGAAGCTTTATTCCCTTCAAAGATAGATTCCCTCCATCCACATTACTTGAACTTCTATTGTTGCTATCCATACTATAATAACTATTGAAAATAACTACCAATGTTACATGGAGCACCTGAGAAGGGTCCTTACATTTCACACTTCAGAATTCTTTGCCTGGGGACTTAATTTTGACAAAAGTGGAACACAACTGGTAAGAAGACATCTCAGTCTACTGCCAGACCTTTATTTTGATTTTCTTTTTCAAAGGTAGGGTAGCCTACCAACTGGCCATAAATTATACCAAATTTGTGTTGAGCTAGTTTCTTTTTTTCTTCTTTGTAAGTATTCTCACCACCTCAAAGTGTATTTTCATTATCAGAAAGTGGTCTAGACTGTAGTTTATATCTAAATAAAGCTGAATAGTCCATTTGTTTAAAATTGCTCAGGAAGGCTACTTAACATTTTTGGCTGTTCACTCCCAGTGTATCATATTATCTCATTTTTACATGAATGAGTGGACAACATGAAAAACATCTTTGTGACTTTTGAGACTAAGCAAAATTAGGTGGAGAACAAACAACATTGATGAAGAACTTCTGGACACTGAAGGAAACAGATGATGTGATTTTCTCATTGCCAATATATGTTTTAGGTATTACATAATTAAGCCACTATTCTCTTCATTACACATTTGAGGCAACATATATTTGGCTATAGAGTACCTAAAATTTAGGTATATATAGATGACTATTGGAAAAAAAAGTATAATTTCTCTTAGTTTAAAATTCATTAAATTTCTCTTAGTTTAAAATTAATTTTTAATTTTTCATCCAGTATGGGGCAAAATACATTTTACTAGTACCTCAATAGGACAGGTTGGTGAAAATTATTACTTCCTGATGGTATGGCCTATTTCTTCCCCATACATATGACAGAGGGAAAAGCAAGAGGAGCTCCTCCAGCAAACTACCTTTTTTTTTTAATGTGTTCTTCATTTCAGCAAAAAACCCCCTACAGATTTTCAAGAGTATTTAATTTAATATAGGTTTGGCCTTTTTAGTACGGGACAAGAATATCAGAGTGTCCATACAAGCAGGTATTATAACAACAGCAACAACATCTGCACAATGTCAGAGTTTATTTATAGCTGCAACATGTAATAATCACTATTTACTTCTTCCATTAATTGACCTAAATAAATTTTTCCTAAAGTGATTAAACCATGTGGAGATAAAAGTTATCATACAGGTAGAAGTAAAATTTAGTAAAATAGCAGTAATTCTTCTAAGATTCAAATGCAACCACTAATTCATTAAAAAGTTACAATTTGTATTGAATAATGTTGCTAACAGTCCATGCTATTTTCTGTGCTGTCAATTCAATAACAACTTGTCTATATGCCAACCAAGCACAGTGGCTAGTTTTATATAGAATATATTCTTAATCTGTTACTTTTTCTTAGGCTAAGCTTTTAATTCTAATCAGTTTTAGTCAACTGTTTTCAGCTTAAATAAATAAATACAGAGGATGAAACTCTGCATAATAAAGAATATATTCTATGCAAAAATGTCTTGAATTAATAAAGTTACTAAAGCTGATGTATCAAACTGCTGAAGAAGAAAAAAAGTTAAGATTTTTCTTGAACTCACTGTACACCTTACACTTTTTATGGTATGCATTAATAATACTTCAAAACAATCCAAAGATGAGAAGAAGAATGCTTCCATTTAAATAGCAACAGTGTTCTTAACTTTCACAATGTTCTTATGAATCCTTGCTACTTCCACTAACACTGCTCTTTTACATTTACTTTTTAGGTGAAGAAGACTGTGACTGGGAATAATGCAAAATAATTTGACTTTTGAGAGATTCTAAACTCTTCAAACCATTGTTATAACAGATGATGCTTGACATTGCCAATCATTCTGTCTTCCTTTTACTTGTAAGTCCTGATATCAGTAGGAGACTATGTACATGCATTCATATGGTGCTGTTTGGTTTGTGGATCACTCATGTCTGGAGTTAATTTATTTAATGTATTGACTTTAAAATATCTGCTGTCTTCACTGTTAGTTAGAAAGATCTTTAAAACCTGAATGAATATCCCTTAATATGGCTTTCAATGAAAACCAGCATTTGGGGGAAAAGAGAAAAGAAAAATAAAGCATACTCTATACGTGCTATGTACATGCTAATTTGAATATACCTTTATAAGTGCCAAACAATATTTCTTCAAGTAGGAACTTTATTTTGATATTGTTCATCATACACACATTATCCCATAATTTAAAAAATAACATCATTTTGCAAGCAGACACCTAGTGATTTGTTATTAGGTCCAGTTATGATGCTGCAAGGTGATAAATTAATACTAACCTTTCAAAAGGATTCCAGGGTTGAATCCTCACTATCACATATAGACACTAGAATTTGGCTCTCCTGTTATCTTGGAATGTTAGGCCACTGGTTTTCATGCACAAGTATTCAGAAGTCTCATCAATCCAGAATGGAGACCATTATTGAAGATACAGTCCTTCTTTGGAGAGTAAAACTGGGGATTTGCTGAGGCTTCATGCTGTGAGAAGAGAGCAGGGGAGCCAAAGATGAGTCAGTGCCTTTTCCCACCACCAGGTACTGAAGTTAACATGCATTTGAATCTCTATTTCTTTGTTCAGAATGACTGTAAATGTTCTCTTGTGGAGAAATTGCTCAATCTAAAGATGATTGTAGTTACACAGTTATTCAAGTGAATTAGTGCAGGGAAACAAAGAGGACTCACTCCATCACTAATGGACACAGGCCCTATGCAGTGGCTGACTGATTGCTGGTGCTCTGGTGTCCCAGCCTGGCTACCAGCAACAGTGTCTGCTTTGGATAGCAGCACTGGGTGCCTTTCTAACAGCTAATTATTTCTGCACAGTGACAGTATGATGTTGATTAAAAATATATATTAATATATATGGTATATTATACCTATAAATATATCTTGCCTGATTTATTTGGTCTGAGCTCATCTATAAATTGTCTGGCTTCTGAAGGAAAATGGCAAAATTGTCTTGCATTTAGAGGGATAGATTTCAAGTTAAATCAGAGGTTAGAACAAAAAAATCCAAATTAATAACAAGCTCCCAAGAGCTCAAACAAAGCAAATTTTAATACATGAATATCAGAAGGCATGTGTAGGTCTTCAGCAGAGAACAAACCTGAGATATGGATGGATGGGAAAAAAAGGTCAGGTGATACTTTCCCTCTGAAAAAACAAGAACAAGAAGAGCATTCTAGTACAGCATAGTGGTTAGATCTTCAATAAGACTGATACAGTCATGAATTTAAGTAATGGAGATGCAGTCTGTTTCAAACAAGGAAGGAAAAGCAAACATACTCCCCATTTGTCAATTATCTCCATTTCTAGATTAATTCCGAGGAAGAAATTAAAGAAATCCTACATTTTCCTAAAAATTAAACTGAACAAAAAAATCCAACCAACCAGCCATCCAAAAAAAAACAAAACAAAAAGAACCCAAACAAAAGTGCAAAATTAAACAAAAGCAAAACCAAAAAACTCCACACAAAACTAAGCATCATCAAAAAAACCCTAAAACAAAACAACATTCTCAAAATACATACTTATATGGCATTGACCCTTTCATATGGCTTTCATGAAGGTTAAGGAGGAATGCTAATCCATTTGGTTTTAATATGTCATTCTGGGTTTTTCATTTTTGCCTATACCCCGCCAAAAAAATTTTATAGGAGAGTACTAGAAAAAACTCTGGAAGATGCTTCTTTCTTTCCTATGAGGTAATATTCAGTACTGCTTATCAGTAAGTCAACGACAATCATAGGAAACAAGTTGTCCCTGAAGTATATTGATGTTTGCTTTTGTCTTTATAACGTGTTTGAACATTCAGTCTTGAAAGTATGATAGTGGAATGAGTGGCCTAATGCTGCCAAAAATGACTATTAAAGTGAATTAAGAGTAATTTTTAATAGTGTTTCATTGGAATCAATGGGCCAATATTATCAAAAGTGAGTCTCATTGGAGTTGTGGAGATTAATTTTTTTATATGAAGTCACTGAAGTCAAAGGTAACAGGCTACAGAAAGTTAACCCCACACAGTGCAATTACATTCAATGTAGCCTCATCTTGTGGCAAATAAACCACTTTATTAAGTACAAGATTGGTGTATCACTTTCACACAGTATATTAAAAAAACCCACCAGGGTAGTGTCGTAGAGGATGGTGAGGTAACTAGTGCAGCTAGGCTTTTAGGATAATTGCACAATACCACTTAATAGCACAGATCACATACTACTACAGCATGCTTTCAAGAGAAAAGTGTTAGGCTAGATATCCCATATCCTATACGCTTTGAACAGTGCCTCAAGCTCTTGCTTTTGCTGGATAGTCACGAGAATCAGGCTGAAGGACTCTGATGTCTCATCCAGAGGGTGGCAATTTAAAAAGACACATCCACTGCCCCTCTCTCTGAAAACTAAAGAAATGACAGCAAAAGTACCTTCGCTTTAGTCAAGATTTAGAGGGTTTGCAACATTTGATTAATGGAGAATAAATGTAGGTACTTATCAGGAAAAGCAATCTTCAAATTTTTTTAAACTAAAGTTTAAAAGTTAATGACTACTAACTTCCAAAACGTTCAGAGGAACTTATGTAATACCAGGAGATGCACAACTAGATCCTGTTATGTTTTGCATGAGTCCAAAATGAGAGACATCCTTTGCTTTACTGCTCCATGGATTCTGTCATTCCACAAACACCACTCTATAATCACATTATAGTAGAAAGCTGTGTCAATGGAAAAATATAAAATAGCATGAATCAGATACATGAAGGTAAGTATAGAGTTCAAAGTGATTACTTATTTTATAATTGATGTGCAATTTTAGGTTTAGGGTTTTTTTCCTCCACAAATCTAAAATATTCTCTATGCTCTAGATCTATTTCCTATTAATTTAATATTATAATACAAACTCTTTTAGTACAAGTACAGCAATTCCACGTTTCACTGGATGCTTAAGTCTTTATATCCATTAATGTCTTTGCAGCTCAGAATAATTCTGTAACTGTGAAACCCCTGGAGTGAAAGTATTACTTAATGTCTCATCAACACTGGGACAAAGGACATAAGCCAACTTCGAGCTCTATAGGATAACAAAAGTTAAACAAAGTTAAACATGGGACTCAAAAAGTCTAAATCAGATTGTGGATTAAGTCTCAAATCTATCCTCCCAAACTCCAGGTTGACAGTGACGAGAATGGAGCAGCAAAATGCTAAATATTCTGTCTCCTTCAATTCTAATAGGTGATTTTGTTCATTCTGCCTTAGCTGCTGGAAGCAAATCAGATATCTCAGTACTGAAGACATTTCTGTAACTTGAAAGTCACACAAGCACAGAGCATGCTTTTCAGGCCCACTTGGAAGTGTTGGCTCCCAACCAGCTACACTGGTACAATACTCTGCTACACTGCTCACACTGATGCCAGCTCCCTTTTACTGCCAGCTCTCCACAAAGGTTGTGAAGAATTTTTATCTGCTCTTGCTTGGCCTTGTGATGCAGATTCATAGAAACAGGTAGTTGCAAGGAAATATAATGTTTTTTATCTTAAACATTCTCTTAGATTGGTCATTTAAAACTTTTTCTGTCTTAAAGAAAAGAAAACCACCCTCACCTATATTGTTTATTTGGAGATAGTCTTAAAAAATCTCTCTTAGTGGAGTGACATGGAGTTACTGATATGTGGTGATCAAAAATTATTTTGGGAAAGCATCACAGTCAGTCTTGGGCAGGTCACTGAAAACTGGCTTAATATTTCTGGCCAAGGAAAGTTCTGTGTGTTAGCAGCTGTGCTCACTTTTTCCTTGGAGAACATAAAGGGAGGACAAGTCACAGTCCCAATACTTTCTGAAGGATTAATGTTACTGAAAAAAATAATGAAAAATATGTTTTGACAGTTTAGTACCTTTTGAAAAAATAATTGAAGTTAGAAAGTTAGATGCCAGGATTAGTCAAATCAATGTGACATGAAATGGCAGAGACTATAAACCCTAAAAAGAAAAATCTTTTATGGTAACTTTATCACAGTGTTCATCGTAGAAGGGCATATATATAATTATGTATGCATGGTAGAACCCCTGTAAAGTAATAACTTTTAATGAATAGCCCTGTTAAAATAATACATTTCTGGGCACCAAACCAAATATGTACAGGAATACAGTGCAAACCTTCTGAATGATAAAGCAGGAAACTAAAAAAGAAAATAAAGAAAACAACAAAAAGAACATTTAGTAGGAAATTGGGCTGATAGGCCTGCTTATATTAATAGCTGTACATGTTTTCATGAAATCAAAATAAATTTGATAAAAGAGATTTTTTAAATTACTATGTGCTGTACAAATATTGTTTAATAAAAATAAAAGATTTTTGCCTAAGAGGGTTGATTCTAATTTCATCTCTTTTGCTGATTTCAAAAGAATTATACCAGGAATGCATCATTTCCTTTTAGAGTATTTGTTTCATGGTAGTCATATGTTTTGTTTTATTAGGACAGCACTGCACACTGTTTGATAGAAAACTAGTCTCTGATCAGCAAACCCTATTCTACCTAAAAAGCTTTACCTCATGCTTAGATCCAGGTTCTTAAATAGTTTTATCTACCCAACTCTTTTATAAAATAAAAAAGTGATGCTACCTAAGTTTTAGATCTTCAGTGATACTTGATTTTCTGAACTTCAGTGAGTATCAAGGTCATCAAGCCTCAGTAGGCAGCCAGCATATTGATGCTTCAGACATATGCCGTCATTCTTACATGACATTCAGCCTTTTCCCCTGAATTTGGGAGCCAAAGCTGCTGACTATATGCAGCCTGAGAATGATGGGAGCAGAGCACATGAATGTTTAGTTTTGCATAAGAAATTGACTCATGACTCGAAGGACCATGTCAAGCATCATTTGACTTCCCTGAGCAACAGCTTGCCAACATACAAGATCCTCAGGAATATTAGGTTATTAAAACTTCCATTAAGATTATATCTTGCAGATCTCCAGTTCTAAGATCAGATCAATTTGTTGCTGAAATTCATTCTAATTTCAAAAGGGAAGGAGACAATGCCTTTAGGAGAGGGGGAGGTGACCCACCTAGTGAGCAAGATACTTCTAAATGACAAAAAAAGTCTTAAAAAAGAAAATTTCTCAAAAAACACAGGAAAATTAAATTTGTAGAACGGATAGCAAGGTGTAAGGAAGAAAGAGTAGTACCAAACATTACAGAACATGAAAACAACATAGAGAATTAATTTTCTAAATTATATTTTGGAGGTTAAGTATTTATTGATTTGATAAGACCATAGTACTGGTTTCAGTGTCATTTTTCTGCTTCATGAATTCCACACACTCTTATTTCAAAAAATATAGATTACTGAGATGTTGCCATCTTATTGCAAAGGCTTCATACCTTCCTGGTGATTTCTCATGGACAGCTCCTCACAGCACTAACCTCTTCTTCTCAGCACAGCCAACAAACTCCACCTAACTTCTCAACCATCCAACCTACTCTTTTACAATACTCATCCTAATTG